ATCCTGAGCGACCTCGGCATTGGGATCAGCCAGCTCGTGCCCACGGTCTTCGCGCGGTTGATGGGCTTGATCGTCTTGTTCCGTAAGCAGGGCTGGGCTGACCCCACGAGTGCGGATATTCGGGCCCTCCTGATCTTTAAGAAGTCCGGCAACACCGGCAATTATTATAGCTCCGTCGCTCTCGGGGTGGATCGGTCCCTGGTGAACAAAATCCCGGAGTCGCTGCACGGTTATATGCCGGAGTGGTTCTGGGTCTCCGGCGCATGGCAGGCGCCGGACGCAGCCCTACATCCGTACACCGGCTTCATATCCGGCAAGTGTGAGTATCATATTGTTCCTCTCCTTTTTCTAATTATGTGCGTTTTTCCTGTGCTAACAGGTCGGATTTTCCATTTCAGTCCACAACCCTCACTTCGACGCCAGTGACGACCTAGCGAAGAAGATCGGCACTTTGTTGGCACTCGACGAGGAAGAGCGCTTCTATCGCGATCTTATTTCGGAGGAGAGTCTGATCACCTACGGCCTCTGCTCAGACTTCAAGACCGGCTATTCCATCCCAGGTATTTCCACTTCATGCCGGGCTATTCATTTTATTTTACTTTCTCCTTGTTATTATCATTACATAATTTTTATTGAGTTCGACACCTGGCTCATCCTTTATATGTCTGGGCAGTCTACTATCCCCTTCTCCGAGAGTGCGGGCTTCGCTCCGTGAAAGAGGCCAACAAACCCGTTCACGCCAACCCGCAACTGTTGAAGGAAAGGAAGAAGATGGCTAGCAGGATGTCTTTTTTGACGAAGTCCAAGAAGGGGCAGGGCTCCACTTCAGCCGGGGATTCCCATGCGGCCGCGCCGGTTTCCCGGACTGCGGTCTCAGCTCCTTCTCGGCCCGTTGTATCCGGGGCGCCCTCTTCTCAGGCCGGTGGGCGTGTTGGTGGTCGTGCCGGGCCGGTTGGAGGCCGAGCTGGCGGCAGTTCTGGCGCGATTGGAGGCCGAACTGGCGCTGTTGGGGGCTGGGCTAGATGTGGCCCTATCCCGACTCGCAGCTGGAGCGAAGATTCCAACCCGGAGGTCGGTCGGAAGAACAGCCGGGCTCGCGACGAGAGCCCAATCAAGTCCAGACAGGACTCGCCTATGGGGCGCGAGGGGCCGTCGTCACCCCCATTCAAAAGGACCAGGGCCGAGGAGTCGGAGGCCGGCCTGATCTCTAAGGGCTCGGCGCACGTTCACCAGGCCGGGTCCTCCACCTATGTTCCGATGAATCCGGAGAGGCGGGCTTCGCTCTCC